TACCTGGAATAAGATGCTTGATCTTCTACTAGACACATTAAAATATAAATGAAATCCTCAAAGAGTAGGGGCTGAGTGGTAGGTAGTATAGAGCAGGTAGGGCTCTGGCCTTGCATGTGGCTTGCCTGGGTTTAATTTCTGGCATCACATATGGTTCCCTGAGTCACACTAGGAGTGATTCCTGAGCACAGAGGTAGAAGTAAGTTCTGAGCACCACCGGGTAAGGCCCCCAAACAAAACAAAAAGCAAAGAATAAACATTAAAGACTAATGTGGATTCCAGGACCACCTGGATGGAGTTATAGACCTAGTGAATACCTTACCCAGATATCACAAGTGTCCATCCCTGCAACTGAACCCACCTGAGAAGCCTGGAGCAGTACCTGCAGGCAATTCCAGGTGTCACTGGGTCTCCAGATTGGGAGCTCCATGAACTATGTGACATCAGACCAACCACCGGTTTCTCAGATCTCTGCATCTGAGAGGGCTTCAGTTCCCTTTTGTTTGAGTCTGCCAGATAGGCCCTTTTGGCACTGAACAGTTCTCTCAGCAAATAAGACAAAAATCAGGCAAAATCAGAAAGAATGAGAAAGATTTAGGTAATACCAGTTTTCCTAAAAATGAAGCACTGTCCTCCCATTGTTCATCGATTTGCTCGAGCGGGCACCAGTAATGTCTCACAACAAATTGTGAGACTTGTTATTACTGTTTTTGGCATGTCGAATATGTCACGGGTAGCTTGCCAGGCTTTGCCATGTGGGCGAGATACTCTCAGCAGTTTGCCAGGCTCTTAGAGAGGGGTGGAGGAATCGAATCCAGGTCAGCCGCATGCAAGGCAAATGCCCTACCCACTGTGCTGTTGCTTCAGCAAACACTTCCAATTAACAAAATTTGCTCGATTTGCTCGAGCGGGCCCAGTAACGTCTCCACTGGAGACTTTGTTGTTACTGTGTCTGGCATATCGATTACTCTCGGTAGCTTGCCGGGCTCTCCGAGAGGGGCGGAGGAATCGAACTCGGGTCGGCCATGTTGGCCGCTTGTAAGGCGAACGCCCTACCCGCTGTGCTATCGCTCCAGTGCAATTTTATTTAAATATTTGTATGCATGAAACCACAGTCAACAACTGACTAGTCTTTTTTTTCAAGGGCACTTGGAAATATTTAAAAACCTGATAATGTGCTATGACATGAAGTTTTTTTTTTAATATAAAAGGTGGGCTGGAGCAATAGTACAGCAGGTAGGGCGTTTGCCTTGCATGCGGCAGACCCAGGTTCAATTCCCAGCATCCCATATGGTCCCCCGAGCACCACCAGGAGAGAAGGAGAGATTCTTGAATGCTTGAACCAGAAATACATACTGTACATTGCCGGGTGTGACCCAAAAAAGAAAAAAAAAGGAATGATAAAATGCAATGAATTTCTCTGAAAAAAAGGTGAAGAAGTGTGGGTAGAAATGTAAAGAAACAGTAACTAAAATAGCACCTGATGTTTGAAAGTTAAGAAATATACATATATTATCTGTGGGTCAAGCATAAGTCATAATAAAAAGAGTAGGAGATATTTCAAATGCAATGGAAAATACTACATATTAAAATATGCAAGAAGAAATTCAACTTAGTGTTCAAGTTTGATCATACTGACCACTTCACCATAACAGTTATAAACCGGGGAAAAAGTAGAAAACAAAGGCCAAAATACCAACTCTCTGAAGGCAGTGTAGAACAATTAAAATTAAACTAAGAGAAAAGCTTAATTATAATTGTTGAATGAGAGGAACCACCCTAGCTAAGATCCCCATTTCTCTAGCTTTTCCCTGAAGGAATGAATCTAGTTCACAACAGAAAGGAACTGAGGTCAATCGGAAAATAGGTATTTGATTAGACACTGGAGTAAGAGACTGCAAGGGCACTTGAAAAATAAAGACTGTGAAAATGGGCGAAACCTAAGTGGCTAGTAAGAAGCATCCTCAGATATTTGCCTGACTTCTTAACTTTACATGCACACCCTGTCCCTGCAGTTTTTCAAACACCTTTATTCAAAATAATGAATATAGGAGCTAGAAAGAGAACAGGGATTGAGGTATTTGCCTTGTATATAGCAAATCCTACTTAGGTACTTGACACCATATATGGTCCCTAGAGCATTACCAGAGGTGATTCCTAAACACTGCCAGGTGTGGCCTCCAAATGAAACACAAAACAAAATAATTGATAGAGCAAAGTGACGTATTTGTGGAAACATGTCCCGAACTCACTCACATAGCCTGGTAACATAAATTGAAGAAAATGGTAGGGTGTACTAGTCTCAGAAAAAGTAGACTTTGAATAATGAACATTGCCAAACATTAACAGATCATTTTATAATGGTATTGGGGTTAACTCAAGGGGACAAAAAAGTCATTAATGCCTGTGTGTCAAATAACAGAGCTTCAAAATATATGAAGCAGAAACTGGCAGAATTACAAAAGGAAATAGACAAATTCACAATTAAAAGCAGCTCACCACACACTTGATTTTCAATAAGCACATGAAAATCGTTGAAAATACAATTATTTTTATACAAGACTCAATTATTCCTTTCAGTTTACTCCCAACTCACAATTAGAGATGACTCAGCCAAACAACAACAACCAAAAAAAATAAATGTATCTTCTTTTCAAGTACACATGGATCATCACCAAGGTAATAATCATATCTTAGAATATTCATATATTTTAAATATTCTAGTAGTATAAAGGATATTTTCTGACCAAGTACAATTAAAATAAAAACCAATAACAGAAAGATATATGGTCAAATCTCCAAATATTTGGAAAGCAATAGCATGCTTTTAATAACCTATGGGTCAATTGAAAAATTAGAAAGCAGTTAGAGAATTGAAAATGAAAATACAACTTACAAAAGTTGTGGGTGCTCATAATGTGGCATTTTGGGGGACATTGATGGTACTCAACTCTTTTTTATGAAAAGACAAAATGCCTCATATCAGTGGGTCAGCTTTTACCATAAGAAACTATCAAAGAGAAAAGGCAGAGGCCAAGGAGATAGCTCAAAGCTTAGAGCTCATGCTAGAAAAATTGGATGAGAGAGAGAGAGAGAGAGAGAGAGAGAGAGAGACCTGAACAATTCTCTCACAATACCTACCAGAATCAATTTGAATCGTAGGCTTACATGCAAAAACTGAGACTATAAAGACTCTGTGACCCTGACTTATTCAAAAGTTCTTTAGCTAGTTCACCAAAAGCACCAAGATTTCTGTTCTTTGAAAGTCACTGTAAGGAAAATAAAGGGACCAGTGGGACAGAACAGAGGTTAGGGCATATGTCTTACATGCACAGGCTCCACATATCACCTACCCCCAACTCCAGCAGTGTCAGATGTGGCCTGAAGGACCTCAAGCATCACCTGGAGAAGACCCCAGGACTCTGGGTTCATGCAACACTGCCTCCTGGCATCTTAACATTCAACCACAGGGCCTAGATAGTAGAAAATCTCTGGGGATAGACTCTCAGTGGTCCCCTGATTGCCACTTGGGAGATGCCAAACCCCCCTCCCCAAGAAGAAAATTGAAAAAAAAAAGCCATAGACTGACCAAAAAGCAAACTAAAATTAGTTACTCTCTGATAAGGGACTAGTGTTCAGATATACAAAGATAATCATATAGCTAATAGGAAAAACAATCACAGTCACGGTCACGGTCCTCCCGTTGTTCATCCATTTGCTCCAGCCGGCCCAGTAACGTCTCCATCAACTTTAAAATAGATAAGCAATTTTGACAGTTTCTATAAGAAATGGGGACATAAGTGCATGAAAAGTTCAACATTAGGAAATGAAAGAGTAAATGAAATGAACATTTTATTTCGTGTACATGCAAATCACGATGTGGTGCTGCTACTCTGTCTTATTGGAGTTGCTGATGTTTTAAAAGGACAGGATCAAAGTCACCGCGGATGACAGAGCCACTGACATGGCTAGCCTGCATGTAAAATGACTGTGGTGCTTTAGAAAACAGAAAATAGTTCTGCAATATAAACATCAGCCTAACACAAAGCTTGGCCACCCAACTCCTAAGTACTCACACGAGTAGAATAAAAACCTAACTTGACACAAAACCCTGAACCTAGTTAAAAATATAAAAGCTGGGTTGCATCAAAATGGAAAACTTTTATGCCGCAAGATAAAGTGAAAAGGCAAATCACAAAACGGAGGGGAGAAGTGCCAATCACACATCAACGAAGGGACTCATATCTAGACTCTCAACATTTACAACTCGGTCATAAAAGACAATTTTTTAGCTGCGCCAAAGATTTGAACAGACACTTCAGCCAAGATTCACAACTGGCCAGAAAGCACGTGAAGGATGGAGCGCAATCATCCTGATTCAGGTAAGTCAGGAGGATGCGACATCACTTCACACCTAGGCTAACTGAAGACAGGCTAGCAAGTGTGGGTGCCGGGTGCGAAGAAATTGGAAAGTGCCAGATCAGGCGGCACCGAGGTTCCAAGGGGGAGTGGGGTGGTGGCGGCTGGGGTGAGAATTAGTTCCCAGTGACCATCCGCTGCCCACCTTCAGCCCCCATTTAAGAATATGCATGCAACTTAATAAGGTTTGCAAATTCTGCGCACAAAGCCCCAGCGCGCAGTGGACAGTCTTCACAAGGAAATGAGGGCGCTGCTATGCTACGTGTTCTGCAGCCTGGCTGGCTCCCAGTTCTCAGCCCCGACGGCGCGAGTTAGTGCTCCTTAGGAAGGGGTGGGGGGGAGAGGGGTGATTTCCTCAGTTTCCCCTTCTGTAAAATGAGGACGCCTCGCTACTGCGCAGTGGAAAGGGTGCAGCATAGTGCTGGCTCCCCCACCCCCAAGTCAGTGCCCGCGACGCAGCCTCAGACCAAGCGGGGGCCGGCCAGCCCTCCCCGGGACGCCAAGCTGGGCAGCGCCCGCCGGGCCGGACCCCGCCCCAGCCCCTCCCCTGGGCCGAGCCTGGGGGTCACGTGGGTGGCGGCGCGGGAGATCCCGGAAGCGGGGTCTGTCCCGGGCCGGGGAGTCCAGCTGCCCCGCTGGGCCCGACTCGGAGCCGCTCCCCGGGGAGCTGGGACCTGGGGGTGAGGCGGGGGTCCTCCCGGGGACGTGGCCGAAGCTGGGCCGGGCGGCGGGGCTGGGGCGCGTCGGGGGTCGGACGGGCGCGGGGGTCCCGCGGCCTGGGCTCCGGAGCTCTCGCAGCAGGGTCCGAGAAGGGGGAAGCGGTGCGCGGTGCAGAGCAGCTGCCTGGCGGTGGACGTGGGGACCCTGGGTGCCCCCGCCGCGGCCCCCGGCTGGGCTGGGTCTTGCCCGCGCGCGCGCACGTCGCTGTCCGGTTTCCTCCTTAGGCTAGGAAGCTTGACACCGTCCCCCCCTGCTCTGACCCTCAGCCGTCGGTGGTTGCACAGACACTGTCCGCTGACCTGGCAGCCGGGAAGAAGCCCCTGCCCGCCGCTGTGTAAGCAGAGCTAAGCTCGGCCCCGAGGGTGGCCGTGCTGGGAAGGGTTCGGGTCTCAATAAAGCCCCTATGAGGCCTTGTCAGAGGAGCCAGTGGTTGACTGTTCCTTTATTCCCTGCATCTTGGGGGTGGGGGGTAGCTCCTCCCCGCTGGGGGTCCCCAGCCCTAGGAGGTGCGAAGCTGTCTCCCATCTCACCCCTGCAGCTGACCACACCATGGCTGAGTGACAGCCCACCAAGGGCACAGGATACCGGGGAGTTCCTGTGTGTCTCAGGTCCCCTCTACTGCCGAGTTCATGTTCTCCACCGCAAGGAGCACTGGGCCACCCCTGGGGATGGGGGTGGGGAGTATGTACTGAGAAGTCTGCCCAAAGCCAGCACCAGATCCTGGGCCTCCTGACCCTCACCGGTCTGTCCCTTACAGGAGCTGGCTGCAGGGGACAGAAGTGAGTCAGCCGGCCCGGGGACCCCTGCCCCGAGTGTGAAGCCTTGGCAGGACCCTTCAGGCATCCGTCTCTGCTGCTTTTCCTGGAGCTGCCCAGGGCGCTGGACACCACAGCCCCTGCTGAACCTTTGGCGGACCATAAGAACCGAAGCGTCCTTTGCCAAGGTAGAGGACCCAGCCTAGCCCTGGCAGAGAGAGGCAGCAGTGGACTGCACTGATCCGTCTCACTCTCACCCTCTCACCTCTGTTCCAACCCTCTCACTCACCCCTGCTCTGTCCTTCTCGCCCTCACCCCTGCTCTGGCCCTCTCATCCTCACCTCTGCCCCAGTCCTCTTGTACTCACCCTCCACCCAGCCCTCTCACTCTCACCCCTGCTCCGACCCTCTCACTCATCCCTGCTCTTTCCTTCTTACCCTCACCCCTGCTCCGGCCTTATCATCCTCACCCCTGCCCCAGCCCTCTCACCCTCACCCCTACCCAGGCCCTCTCATTCTCACCCCTCCCCAGCACAGCATTATCATGTCATGTCACCTTTGCTGGTTCTCACTTTCTCCCCCTGTCTCTACCTAGAAGCTGACCTCACGACCCCACAGCAGCCGCACCCCTGACCTCACCCCTCCTGTCCACATCACTTCCCACACTGACCTGGCTACTGGAACTCGCAGCTGTCAGCCACAGCTCGCTGTCCAGAGCCCTCCCCCCTTCCCACCACACACTTCTCTGAGGTCGGGCCCGCCCTCACCCCGCCCCCCCCCCCACATATATGTCATCTTTGCCTGGGAACCCCCTCCAGGTTGCCCTGTGCCATGCGGGACATTTCCCTGCAGCCTTTGCTCTCCCAGGCCCAGTTGGCCCCCCACGGTGACCTGGGCTAGAAGCCCTCCTGTACTTCCCCCTGTGTTCTGAGTGAGTCTTGACAGGCTGTTGGAGGTGTCGGGAAGGAGTCGGTGAGCCCCACTAAGCTAGCCACAGGGGGTACCCAGGAGAGTAGAGCGGAGCCCAACCTCTGGAGACTTCCCCATCATACCAAGGACCTTGACCATGTGCATGAGGAAGAATCCAACGGGGCCTTCTCTCAGCTCACCTTTGCCATGTGGCACACTCAAGGCCACGGGAGGCCTGGATCCCCCAAGACTCTGGATCACCAGCTCCTTAGGGAGTCAGTGCCTTCCCCCAGGGGCCTAGGCACAGCAGGAGAAGGAGTCCCCAGTTGGTGAATAAAAGCACACTCACTTGGTGCAGTCACACATCAGGATGTGTGGCTCCCAAGGCAGGTGCCTGGGAGGGAGAGGCCAGGATTGCTGAGTGCCAAGAAGGGTGAGGACCAGGCCAGCCCGTGTCCCCTGCCCACCCCAGTCATGAGCAGGAGGATGTGATGCAGCAGCCTGCGGTGTGTGTGGTGCAGGGCCAATTGGCTGCTGGGATGAGAGATGTGCCTGTGGCCCTCCAGGCCAGGCTCGCTGCCCACCCGTGTGCACCTGATTCTCCAGATAGGAACCATCGTTAGGAACCGTCGTTCCTTCTGGGCCGGTGAGAGGGGCCTGAGAGCACCAGGGAAAGTGCCCGCCTGGTCCAGCCCCCAGCTCTGCCCTTCCTAGATGTGCCCACATCCTGCGCCAGGGACTAGCAAACGAAGATTCTCTGACTCCAAAGGGGTTGGGGACCCTTTTCCAAGGCTTGTGTTTCTCAGGATGCTGATGACACCCACTCCCCCACACCCCCCGGGCGGGGACCCTGACCTTGACGCTCCCCAACAGATGAGGTGTGTGGCTGTGGCCACAGACGGTGCCGAGATCCTTTTCTACTGGACCGACAAGGAGTTTGAGGACAATCTGCGGCTGCGGTTTGGGCAGGGAGAGCATGAAGGCGAGGTAAGTGCCGGGGACGACGGCTGGACATGGGAAATGGAAGGAGCAGCAGGATGTGGGTGTGTGTGGTGGAGTCACGTCCGCCACTCCTTTCAGGACCACCGTGCCGGGAGGGAGCCTGGACCTCACTTCTCCCTGGCAATTGAATCATTGAGGTGGTGTCACAGAGGTCCCTCGGGTGCAGGGACCTCCTTGTCCCTCCTTCCCACTGGGTGAGGGCCGCATCGTAGAGTGGAAGTTCAGTACGCTCCCCATTTCTCAGCCTGGAATGCTGAAGCCCAAGCACGGTCCCGTTAAAATAATACAGAGCTATGTTTCAGTGATACAGTGTTCAGGTGCCCATCCCTCCACCAGTGTCCCCAGTATCCCTCCCACCACCCCCACCCCTTCCCACCCCCTGCCTCTGTGGCAGGCGCATTCTCTCTCTCTCTCTCTCTCTCTCTCTCTCTCTCTCTCTGGTTTGTTATGGTTTGCAGTACAGATACTAAGCAGATATTATGTTTGGTCCATAGCTTACTTTCAGCATGTATCTCCCTCCCCAAGAAGCCCTCCAACCATCTGGGGGGAAAGGCAGCTGAGATAGAGAAAGGATTTTGGCTATTATTTACTCTTATTTTTTTGGTCTCTTCTCTTTTAATATTTAAATATTAGCATGTATATTAGCACTTATTGCTTGGCTGTATTGTTTAACCAACTTGTATGTCTCATACAAAACAAAAGCTTAAAAATATAACAACATTATACTTAATCCCTAATTTTATTGTATATTTTACTGACTTGAGTGAAACTAAATAGTTTTATTTAGCAAAATTTACTTAGAGAAATGTGAGGAGAGAAAGAGAGAGAAAGAAAGAGAGAAAGAAGGGTGTTCAAGAGAGAACATGGTCTTTTGCCAGAAGGGAAAAGTTTATTCTATGTTTTCCATTTGTAAATTAATTTTTAAAATTTGAATTATACTATATACTTGTAGCAGTAGTATTAATCTCAATGTATATATAACAAAATTATTGCTATACTTAAAACATCTCTCACGAATTTTCAATATCAATATTGCAAACCACAATGCCCAAAAGAAGAGAGAGAGAGAAAGAGAGAGAGGAGAGAGAGAGAGACAGAGACAGAGACAGAGACAGAGACAGGGGGGGACCTGCCATAGAGGCAGGAAGGGGTTGGGTGGTGGGTGGTGATGGGAGGGAACCTGGGGACACTGGTACTGGGAAATGTACAGTGGTAGAGGGATGTGTGTTGGAATACTGTATGACTGAAATCCAACCATAAACAGCTCTGTGGTAGTTTATCTCACAGTGATTCAATAACAAAGTTTAAAAGCATCCAAAAAAAAAAACCATACAGAGCTAGATTGGGGTATAACTGACAGGCTGTGAACTCGGGCCATACACAGTCAACCCAGTAAAAGAAAAAAAATTGTCTTGAAAGACACTGTTGTTCAAGTTGAAATCAGGATGGTTTCCCCTGGTCCTTGCTCTGTTTCTTCATAAGAATACATATATGTGTGTGTGTGTGTGTGTGTGTGTGTGCGTGCATGTGTGTGTATATATACATATGTATATGAGGCTCAGACCATTGTATGTATGTGTGTATATATGTGTGTGTGTGTGTGTGTGTGGTATATATATGTATGTATATATACACACACATAATATGCATGCACGCATATACACAGAGAAAGGGGGGTTAGTGAGCATACCCCTAGCTTTGCTGGGAAGGGGCATGGGGAGTTGGGGAAGGCTGGGTCACCCCCAGAAATACTCCCCCAGGCCTGATGGCTCAGCCTAGCACTTGTGAGTCTCAGGCCACGTGGGTTGTGGAGTGGTGGAGCGGGGTCATCAGGACCACACCCAGCAGTGCTCATGGAGCCATGTGGTGCCAGGGCTTAAACCCTGTAGCCCTCACACGCACCATCTCCTCAGCCTGCTGTTCATTTAGCGCCACATGTGAGTGGCCCATCGTGATGAGTCCTTTGTGTTTTCACTGGCGAAACTCACCCGATGCCACCCCCGGCCTGGTGCCTGCAGGTTCCTTGTGGTCTTCTCCAGCTCAGAGTGGGCACTCAGCTTTCCCCCATCATTTCTGTGCCCTGCTCAGTACTCTGATTTACCCCGTATTTCGGCCCAGACTTTCAACTGATTTGTCTGGTTTGGCTCTGTGTGTTTTGTTCCTCATTTTAGCGGATGGAGAGAATGAATGGGGAAAGAGGATCTAAAAGCCGGTGTCCGCTGGTTATGGAAACCGGGAAAGAATAGGAATGTACAGGCCGAAGGGGGGAGTCAGTCCTGGCCTTTACCTGCAGTAGTAACCAACACTGTTGGCCCCCCTCCCCCGCAACATTCTGTCTGTGCAGTTGAAAGCACAGCTGCTTGGGGGTGGACCTTCCTTTGGACCCCAGCGATTTTCCACGTCACTGGCAACACTTGAGTCTCAGGAGTGTGTGTGTTCCTCCACTAGAGCCGCCGTTATTTATGGTCCTCTCTGGGCTCGACATTTGCATTATCTCCAGTCTTGGCCACTATAAATTATGTTGCAGTGAACATCTCTACCCTGTCTCTGGTCAGCTGTTTCCCAAGGTAGATTGTGTCAGAGATGCTTGGGCTTGCGTACAGGGGACAGGTGCCCCCCTGAGTCGGCCAGCTCCACCTCCAGTTGTCCCCAGTGCTCTGCTCTGCAGCCGATCCCAAATAGCCCATTGTCCAGTCGGAACCGGAACTGCCCAGTTAGCTAGCGGACCCTTCCCAGCCCTCCTAATGACTCATGGGGGCAGCAAATTCTATATTTGGGATCATCCTCCTTATCAGGGAAGTGACCCCTCCCAGGTGGGCCTCTGACTCCTAAAGGGGACTCTTAAGTGGCACTGCCTGGCCCTCTCTCTCCTTTTTCCAGGGCACTGGGTACTGTGTCTTCTGAGTTGCGGGATTTTTTTTTTTGGTCCTGTCCCTTGTGCTGCCCTCGGGCACCCTGTCCTTTCCTTTGCCCCATCATTGGGTACCTGTTCACTGTTTTCTTGCCCTCTCGCAGCTGCCGGCCCTGGAGGACCAGCTCAGCACCCTGCTGGCCCCGGTCATCATCTCCTCCATGACTATGATGGAGAAGCTCTCGGACACCTACACCTGTTTCTCCACAGAGGGCAGTGCCCACCTGTATGCCCTGCACCTGGTCAGCTCACTGCGCCAGCTCCTCCTCCCCGCCCTGGGCTCCACCCACCTCTCCCTCTGGGAGAGAAAGGCAGGGCTGTGATCCAAATCCCCGGGTACCCCCATCCGTCCCCAACACACACACACACACACACACACACACACACACACACACACACACACACACCACACCAGCCCCCAGGGACCAGGGCATGTGGTCCCCACCATTAGCCCCTCTGTGCCTGCAGTTTGGAGAGTGCCTGTTCATCGCCATCAGCGGAGATGGCACAGATGAAGGGACTCTGCGCCACCAGCTCTGTGTACTCAAGTACCTGTTTGAGGTGCACTTCGGCTTGGTGACCGTGGACAGCCAGCTCATCCGGAAGGAGTGAGTGCCCGCCCCTGAGGGTCCCCGTCTAAGGCCTCCCGAGTGCCTCCCAGCTGCACACACGGTCCCTGGCTGGGGCCCTGGGTCAGAGAAGCAGAGCCCACGGGAGCCATGGAGAGCTGACAGCTCCCTGATTTTCCTGATGAGGAAACACACATGACTTCCCCCGGGCAGCCCAGCCCTGAGCCAGCAGCTCCGGACTGAGTCCCCCTTCCCTGTGCCCCAGGCAAGTTGTCTGTCCTCTTCTGCTCCCTACGGAGAAAGCCTGAGCACTTTATAAGGGAGCAGATCCCCCCTCCAGTCCACAGTACAAAGCCTGAGAATGGGGGCTCAGAGGAGACTTAGGGGGGATGGGCCCCAGGGAAGGAGCCTGGCGGAACTGTGTCCTGGATAGGAAAGCTCTAGGCTGGCCAGGCCAAGGTCACCCCTGGTTCTGCTGAGTTCGGAAGTGCAGTGATCTGGGCTGGAGAAGGGTGAGCAGGGCCCCATCAGCCACTGGCAGATTAACTGAGGCCGTCCCGGGTCTCCTGGGTGCAGGCAGACCCTGCAGAGGCCGAGGCCTGTGTCTCCCAGCTTACCCGTGCGGGGTGGTCTGTGTGCGCTTCTGGCAAGAAAGACACATGGAGAGGAACTGGCTTCCCTTGGGAGTCGGGTGACTCTGGACAGCCCCGGTGCCTTCTAGCCTCTCGGTCAGCACCTCCTGCCAGATGCTGGAATTAGTGTGTGTGTGTGTGTGTGTGTGTGTGTGTGTGTGTGTGTGTATATATGTGCAGTATCCACAGGTCCAGTTGTGGGGGAGCTTTTGCCAGTTTTGTCCCTGCCTTCCCCTCCTTGCTGAGGACCGCTCTGTGCGCCTGGCCACCCTATCACTCGGTCCCTAACAGGAGCTCAGGGTGTCTGGGACCGTGGGCCTTCCCTGAGCTCGGACACTGCCCTCTCTCTCCCCATCTCTGCGACTCTGCCTGCAGGCTGCGGCCCCGGGACCTGGAGCAGCGCGAGCAGGTGTGGAAGCACTTTCAGAGCCTGCTGCGTACCTACAGCCGCCTCAGGGACCGGGAGCAGAGCTTCGCCGTAGAGGTGAGGGGGGAGGGCCACCAAGGGCGGTCAGAGGGGCAGGGGACACCCAGGGCGATCAGAGGGGGCAGGGCCACCCAGGGCCGCCAGAGGAGTCAGGGACCATCCAGGGTAGTCAAGGGGGAGGGCCACCCAGGGCGTTTAGAGGAGCAGGGAGCACCCAGGGTGGTCAGAGGAGGGAGGGCCACCCAAGGGGGCCCGAGGTGGGAGGGCTACCTAGGGCAGTCTTGGGAGGAGGGCCACCCAGGGCAGCAGAGGAGGAAGGGCAACCTACGACAGTCAAAGAGGGCAGGGCCACCCAAGAGGACCTGGTGAAGGGCCACCCAGGGTGTTTAGAGGAGCAGAAAGCACCCAGGGCAGTCAGAGGGGGCAGGGGACCACTGAGGGTGGTTGGTGGCGGGGAGCCACTGAAGGCAGTCAGAAGGATCATCAGACTTTCATGCTGAGTTTGATCCCCTGATGGGCACGGCCACCCCTGCTGTGTCTAGAGTGGCCACCTCAGGTAGGCTGGCTGCTCCGGCATCTCCCCAGGAAAGAGCCATTGATCCAGATAAGACAGACTCGAGGACAGGTTGGCGCTGACAGGAAATCTTGGAAAGACAGCCCCCTGTGACTCTGCCCACCTCCGACCCCCCACTGCTAAAGGGGGTCTGTACTGAGCCGATGAAACTCTTGAGTGGGGAGTGTGGGAGGGGAGCAGCCCCGAAGGGGCAGGAGCTGGTGGGGGCCAAGGAGGATACCACCGTGACCCATGGGGCACCATGACCATGGGACCCGGGTTTCAAGCGAGACTGGCCCAGGCAGCCTTGTAGGCAGACGGGCATTCTCGCCACTCCCCCACGGGTAAGCATATAAGCACGCATTCTCCCTAATACACAAACATGCACACACAATTCTCCCATACACAAGCACGTATACAAGCTTGAGGGCTTGCCCAGTGTAAATTCTCATCTCCTCCAAATGCAACCAGGCATTCCCCCCTCCCCTCCTCCCCCAAATGCAAGTGAGCATTCTCTCGAGGCCTGCGCACCCCCACCCCTAGATACACAAGTACTTTGTCTAAGAATTTCTCATACCCCGGAGCAGCAGAGGGGCCTAGGGGATCTTCACACATGGTTTACTGGGCCTCACCCTCAGTTTCTTAGTTCAGGAGGGGAGCGGACCCCCCAAAGCTACATTCCTCATAAGTGCCAGGTCACCAGGTAACATGGGTCACTAGCTGCCCCTCAGAAACCGCTACTTTTGAGGACAGAAGAGCAAATAGGAGCCCTTGGTTGAAGGTCAGGTGCCCGGTAAGATGAGCCCACCTGGGAGAGAGTCGGGGATCCTCACCCACAGGGTCAATCCCCGGGAGCCTGATAAGGCCGCGCTACTGGGTGCCGGGTGCAGACTCGCTGTGGGATATTTAAGGATGCGAATACTGGGCCCCACAGCAAGGAGCAGAACCACAGAGCAGACTGAAAGGCGACCAGGTGGATCAGAATCGGAGCCCTGTCTAGAAAAGTTAGAAATGAAATCTCAGTGTGAACGTGGGGCTCTGGAGCCAGCCACGGGCACCTCGCACACTTGGGATGCAGGTGGCTTCCGTCTGCACGCCGCAGACGCAGAGGCTCAGAGCCCGGTCAAACAGCAGCCGAGGTGGGAATCCGGGCTGGGGGACTTCACTTCCGGCCCACCCGGGCTGCCATTCATCAGTATGTGTCCAGTGTCCAGCATGCACGATGGATAGCCACTCGCTGCCTGCCAGGACTCTGCACCCAGGAAGGGCAGGAGGAGGGAGTGATGCAGTTGGATGAGTCCTGCCCTCTCTCCCCTCCCAGTTCCTGCCCTCTCTCCCTCCAGCCCCCTCCCCCCCTCCTCTAAGCCCTCTTACCCCCTCTCCCCCACCTGCCCTCTCTTCTGCCTTTTCTGTTCCTCCTCTCCTCCTGGGCAACCTTCCATCTGGGCGTGGTCAATACTCACCACCGCCCCTTTGGTGCGGAACTGAACAGGGTGGTCTGGGTGGGTGGGATTCTGGTGATGGCATGCTAGACTTTCCAGCCCTTACCCCCACCCCCATCAAGGCCAGCATCGGTGTTCTGATAATTTCGCATAACTGGCTAAACTAAAAGTCTTCACTTCCATCTCACGCATTTCATCATTTACTCTCTGAAGGTTGTGGCTGGAGATGGGGGAATTCTGCGAGACTGTGCCTCAGGGAGGCGCCCCCATGTCCAGCCCCTCTGCCCACCTCAGGGACTTTGCACTCGCTCTGGATCCCACGGGTGGTGGCATCTCTCTGCCCCGCGAATCTTTCTCTGAAGGCTTCTCTGTCCTTCCCTGTGGGCAGAGGGCTCCACTGCTGCCACCTGGCCATTTCCTTTGGCTGCTCTGACTCCCCCAGGTGCCTTGGGCTCCACATTATTCCTATCCCCCCACCCTCCCTGGCTGCAGCCTCCCCGTGCCTTCCCAACCTCAGGAAAGCCCAGGCAGGCAGGTTGTGCCCGTGCCAGCCTGAACTGCCCTGTCCCCATGTGTCTGTCCCTAGACTGCTCTCAGTGTGGACTTGAAACCCCACCCCACCCTGCCACCCCTCCTGCCAGACCCGGGTTGCAGAGGGTGTCCCCTTCCTCACGTGCCCCCTTCCCTGCCCCGGGCCAGGCCGTGGAGCGGCTGGTGCACCCGCAGCTGTGCGAGCTGTGCGTGGAGGCGCTGGAGCGGCACGTGGTGCAGGCCATCAACGCCAGGCCTGAGCGGCAGCGGGCGGGAGAGGAGGTGCTGCACGCCTTCCTGCTGGTGCACACCAGGCTGCTGGCCCTTTACTCCAGGTGAGCCTGAGCCTGCCGACCCCCTGCCGGCCCCCTGCCCAGCCCTGCTCCCTGCTGGGAGGGGGCCCTCACCTCACCTCCAACTCCCCCTCGCCTCCCCTCCCCCTTCCCCCCTCTTTCTCCCGGGGGGCTGCTCCTACCCTGTCTCAGAGCCTGATCTGAGGCCCTCTGGGTCACTGTGGGTGGTTTTTCTCGCACAACCAGAGACACGAGTTAAGGGGGCCAGGAAGACGCATTCAGGGCCACGTGCCTGGCATGCCTGGGGAACCCAAGCTTCACCCCCTACCACCCGGGGCACCCCCAGCACAGGCATGGGACTGTAACCCCCCCTGAGGACAGGGAGGGGCTGGGCTGCACTGCCTCCTGGGGGCTGGGGCCCACCGTCCCCCCCTGTTCTCCCTACAGCCACAGCGCCCTGCGTCCCGCCGACCTGCTCACCCTCATCCTCCTGGTGCAGGACCTGCAGCCCAGCGAGAGCAGCGCCGAGGATGACGGCGTCGAGGTGCCAGGAGGCAGCTCCAGGAGGCTGGGCGGGCGGGTGTTGGGGCCGGGGAGGGTGCGAGGGGGTGGGAGCACTCCGGGGGCTGGGCAGGACATTTCCCCGTCCTGCTGCTTTCAGTGGTCTGGAGAATTCTAGAATGCATGCGATGTGATGGTTTCGAATGACCATTTGCCATGTGGGACGTCCTGGCTTCACTGGTTGGTGGCAGGAAGTGCCGGCCCAGTGATGGGAGCAGAGGAGCCCGTGCTCCCGGCCACAATGTCCTCACCATTGTCCCGAGGCCATACACAGGGGTTTCCTGGCCCTTTGGCGGTTCTAGAGAGATGAGACTGTGTAGACATGAGACTCGTCTGGTGGTGAAGCCATGGGGTGCGTGGGGTGCTAGCGGGAAAACCCCAGGCCCATCTTCACCTGCATCTCTTCCTCACAGCCCTCCCTACGGCGGCCCAGGAGCAGCCAAAACATCCCCGTGCGGCCAGCGGCGCCAGCAGTCCCCCGGAGGAGTTCCACAGGGACGGTGAGTCTGTCCCCTGAGCGATGGCAGGCCGGGGCCGTGGGGAGCAGGGTGGCGGCTGACCCCTCTGCTCCCCGCCAGGAGACCGACAGCCTCTCTCTGCCCGAGGAGTACTTCACGCCCGCCGCATCCCCTGGGGAGGAGAGCTCAGGTGAGACCCCGGGGACCTGTCCTGGGCCCCCCCAAACCTGGTCGGAACCCCCCCCAGGCACAAGCACCGGACTCCGTCTGGCCCCTTTACCCCCCTTGAGTTGCCTTGAATTTAAAGGGCTGTCAAGGTCACACTGGGGACCTTTCTCTGCCAGGCTGATCCCATTTAAAATGCGGCCCTCGGGGGAGGGGGATCTTCTCTGCCTCCGCTCCTTTAGGCAACAGGTAACTCAGTAGAATCAGGCAGTCGTCATTTGATTCCAAATCTTCAAAACGTAGTCATTCAACCTCCAGCACATGCTCTGTGTGTTTTTCCCAAGTATGTGGGCAGTCAATAACAGGCCTCGGAAAGTATCCTGGGAGTCACACACAGGCCAGAGAGAGCCAGGAGGCGGCTCACTGAGCACGGAGGTTGGCCCTGGGAACCCTGGGCCACGACACGTGGGTGAGCTTGGCACAGCTCTGGGAAGAGCTCGGGAGAAGGGCTGGGCCCCGCCATTCCTGGTCCCCGATAGAGAGGACAGGCCCGCCAGGGTCACAGGAGGAGAAACTTCCCAGGGGATGAGTTGTTCTGGTTGTGGCGTATGGGGTTGTGGTGGCAGGCAGCGCATGGCATGAGCTGCCAGGCCTCTTGTGCTGGGCCAGAATGGGCCAACCACTTGCCATCCCATGGCCGGGACTGACTGTAGGGGTGGCCCCTGCCTGCCTGACCCTCGTGAGTGTGTCTTGGGTGCTGTCAGCCAGGCCACTGATACCCTCCTGGGCACCTGTGGGAACGTTTCCTGTGGGTCCTGCACATGAATACATGGGGCCATGGCAAACACAGATGGGGGCTGTGAGTGGCTCTCACACCTAGCTGCCTGGGACCCCGGGGGAGAGCTCTGAAAGCCCCCAGAGTGGGCCTGGGCTGGAGGCCCCAGCAAGCTTGGGCATTGCAGCTTCCGAGAGGTCACAGGCGCAGCCAAGGCTGGATAGCATGGATTTGATGTTCTAAACTCTGGTCCCCTAATTGTCATAGAGGCAGGGTGAGGACTGTGATGTGGGGGAGGGGGGACACTTGGATAATCGGTGGTGGAAAATGTGCACTAGTGCAGGGATGGGTCTTCCATCATTGTATGGCTGAATCTCAAACATGAGAGCTTTGTAACTATCTCATGGTGATACAATAAAATAAAAAGTAATGTGGAGTTCATGTCCAGTTCAATCAGCCTAATCAGTGACTGAACAAATAGCAGTACTCCTACATTATTTAAAATAAATAAATAAAATAAACTTTGGTCCCCTGAGGACATGTTCCTTGGGGCTAGGGTCCATGAGTGTCCCCAGGTTCTCTGAGCTTTTTTCAAGCCTGGCCATGCCGAGAAGCTCTGGAGTGACCTTCGGTAGAGAAACTGGATTTTTTGGTTTTGTGGCGTTTTTTTTTTCTTCCCTTACTATTCCTTCCCTCACCATCCCTGTCCTCCTGGGCTCCTCGCTCTCCCTGGCTGACTTTTCTCTGCCTTGGTGCTGTAAATAACACCATTCCTCTGTGCACACAGCCACCCGCTTACAAATGACTCCGGGCGGATCCGTGCATTTGTAAGTCAGGTGTCTGAAACCGTAGGAATGGGCTTCCCCCGAGAAACATGATTATAAATGTTCATTTTCCGCAGTGAAATATAAGAGAGGGCGTTTATTATAAGCATGTAATATTTTATACCTGTCGGGGGCTTCCCCAGGCCTTTGTGAGCTATGGCAGGAGGGGAAATGGAGCTCGGGAGCCAGATTGCTGGCTGTAGTAGGTGCTCAGTGAAGACTGCGGAGTGAATGGGGTGGGGGAGGAAGTGGCGAGGGCTGACCCTACTGGAGAGGCATATGACAGCCAGGGAGGCCTGAGAGGCGAGGAGGGCATGGCCTGGTGGCACATGCCCCACATTTTTCCCCAGCTCCAGGTTACTTTAGCCTTGGGAGCAGACAGTACCCCATGCATACCAGCCTGGCATGGGACTAGTTGTGCCCTGTGGCCTGGCAGAGGCTGCGAGCTGCAGATGGGTGGGGGTCTCCTTCCTCCCGGCCCCAGACAGGTTGTGGGGCCGCTGTCTGCTTTCTCCATTACTTATGTCCTGTGCTTACCTGTGGCCTGCAGGTAGCACCATCTGGCTGGAAGGGGGCACCCCACCCCTTGATGACCCCCCTGTTCAGGTGAGTGTCTTCTGGGGCGGGGAGGGGGCGGCCCTGCCACCCCACCAGCTGGTTACGGATGTGGTCTGAGCCCTGGGACCCACTCTCTCCTGCCGGGGACGCTGTCCTAGCTCCTGCTCCCCCTCACCCCAATCTTGGGACTGTAGGTGGACAGAGGAACTCTGGCCCAGGACAGGACTGGGGGAAGGGGAGAAGGTGGCCTTCCCACCACCCCCAGGCCCTGAGAAATCCTTGCCCTCCTCTGTCTGGGAGTGACACAGCCAACCTAATTTTTAATGACTTTTTAAATGAGAAAGCCAAATAGATTCTCATTGTTGAAAATTTGGCAAACACAAGGTGAAGAAGTCAGGAAGAGGTACAGAAATCACTGGCCAGCCCCACGTCCCCTGCCCCCAGTATCATACAGACACACACACACACACACACACACACACACACACACACACACACACACACACATCTGTGCAGAGAAGTGTTCTTGGTATCAGTAACTATTTCCTTAATTTCATTAAAATGCTTCACTCTCAGGGCTGGAGTGATAGTGCCGCAAATAGGGCGTTTGCCCTGCACACAGCTGACACGGGTTCAAATCCCAGCATCCCATATGGTCCCCTGAGCTCTGCCAGGAGTAATTCCTGAGTGCAAAGCCAGGAGTAACCCCTGAGCATCACTGGGTGTGACCCAAAAAGCCAATAAATTAAATGTTTCATGCTCTGAGGCCAAGTTAGGGAGTCTCTTCTGCCTGTTCGATGCCCCTACCCCACCCCGCACCCTGTCCGCACCTCTGTCCCCACAGATTGCGGAGGACATCCTCCAGACGCTGGTCCCTGAGTCCCCAGCACTTTGCAGCCCCCGGAGGATTTTCCTGGATGCCAGCGTGAAGGAGAGCTACTGCCCCCTGGTGCCCCACACCATGTACTGCCTGCCCCTGTGGCCTGGCATCAACTTGGTGCTCCTGACCAAGGTAGGGGAGCCCCATAGTTCGTCGCCCAGCCCCCACCCCCCACCCCTGCCACACCTCATGGGCCGCCCACCTCCCTCCCCATAGGGCCCCAGCACGCCCCTGGCCCTGGCCCTGTACCAGCTGCTGGATGGGTTTGTCGTGCTGGAGAAGAAGATCAAGGAGGGGCAGGAGACGGGGAGCAGCCTGCGCTCCCACCCGCTCCTGGGCGACCTGCGCCAGCGCATGGACAAGTTCGTCAAGGTCCGAGGACGGCAGGAGATTCAGGTGAGACTCAGGGCCCTGGGACCCTGGGCCGTGAGACAGGGCCTGTGTGTTCACTCTGGCTGCCGGGCCAGGGATTCGGGTGGTTTCTGAGGGGTCTCTCTGGATGGTCTCTGAGTGGTCTCTAGGTAGTCTCTCTGGGTAGTCTCTGGGTGGTCTCTGAGTGGTCTTTGGTGTCTCTCTAGGTGGTCTTTGGGTGGTGTCTCTGGGTGGTCTCTCTGGGTGGTCTCTGGGTGGTCTCTCCTGCTGACTCTTGCTCTCAACGCTGCTGGGTGCAGAGGCTGGGAGAGGCAGCAGCAGCCCCAGTGCCTGCTCAGAGCCCTCACAGAGCAGTGCCCCGGCACCTGTCCCCTTACAGAGCACCTGGCAGGAGTTCAAGGCCAAGGCCTTCTCCAGAAGTGAGCCCGGATCACCCGCCGAGTAAGTGGGCCTCAGGGACACGCAGTGGAGTGGGGAGGGCTGGGTGCAGGGACCCTGTGTAGGTCTGTGTGGGGGTGGCCTCTGGGTGGGTGGTCTCTCTGGGTGGTCTCTGGGTGGGTAGTCTCTGAGTGGTCTCTGGGTGGTCTCTCTGGGTGGTTTCTGAGTGATCTATCTGCATGGTTTTGGGGTGGTCTGTAGGTAGTCTCTCTGGGTAGTCTCTGGGTGGTCTCTGAGTGGTCTCTGTTGTCTCTCTAGGTGGTCTTTGGGTGATGTCTCTGGGTGCTGCCTCTGGGTGGTCTTTGGGTTATCTCTGGGTGGTCACTGTGGGCATCCTCTGTCTCCCAAGGGACTAAGAAGTGTGGGTGAGCACAGACGGAGCCAGGACGGCCCCCAGGATAGTTGCCCACAGCCCGGGGCTGCCGAAGAGGGTGGGAAGCAAAGGATGGTGGAAGGGGCAGGGCTGTGGGGACCCCACAGCAGCAGCCCAAGGTCCTGCCCAGCTTCAACACTGCCTCCTGCGGCCTCAAGCTTTCTGTCCCCCTGCCTGGCATGCTCTCCCTGAGCCCAGAAGGTGCCAAGTGACTCTTCCCCCAGAGGCGAGGGAGTACTGTCCCGGGCGGGGGCCATGAGGGAAGATGCCACTTGGCTCTGGTGTGTGTTCTGGGCTGGGGTGGGACAGGGTCCTCCCTGTGCTGAAACCGCCCCCCTGCACCCAGGCTGCTCCAGGCGTGTGCGCAGCTGAAGCGGCAGCTCTGTGCCCTGTACCGCCTCAGCTTCCTGGGCCAGGCCCCCGGCCAGGGGGGGCCCCAACTACCCCAGCACCTGCAGGACCAGCTCCAGATGTTCATGCAGTGAGTGGGGCTGGTACCTGTGGGGTGGAGTGGCACAGGGCACGGGGAGGGAGGGGCGGGGCAGGGAGAACTGCCACTCACCCCTCCCTCCTTCCTGCCCTTCCACAGAGAAAAGTTGATGGACTGGAAGGACTTCCTGCTGGTGAAGAGCAAGAGGAACGTCACCATGGTGTCATATCCTAAGGGTCGCAGCCCTGGGAATAGGGGACGGCGTCTGCCTCCTTGTGGGAGTAGGTAGACCCCTAGGTCTGGAACACCCAGGACCAGGCAAGCGGGGCTCAGTGGTTATGCCACGGGCCTGGAGGGGTGCCCGCGACATAGTGCCCACCCTTTGGAGCAGACTGCAGGCCAATGCTCTGGGCCCAAACTAGGTCACCCCTACCTCACTCCGTGCTGCCCCTTCTCTGGAACCCTCAACAGGGCGGCTTTTCCCAGATGAAAAGTTCTTAAGGTGAGGCCTCCCCTCCCTGAGACCTCTGTCCGTAGGATGCAGGTAACAGGGACAGCGGGGGGCAGTCCCTTTGCGCCCCCCCCCCCCCCCACCCTGGGCCTCCGTTCCTCTTGCAAGTGGCCCAGGTGAAGTGTAGGGTGTGGGCCAAGCCAGTGTGCTGGGTGCAGGCCTCAGCTCTGCCCATGCCCCAGGCCCCCCACCCCTGCGTCAGTCATCTTAGCTCGTCTTCCCAGACAGACCACGTTCACCTGCAGTCTCTCAGGGCTGGTGGGGGCGGGGGGGGGGGGTTCGAAGATTAAGAGAGAGCTGGGAAAGAGTGGATTCAGGAGGCGTGGACATGTCGGGAGGCTTCAGGGCTGCTGTGTGGGGAGGGGGTTATGGGGGGGGACAGAGGCCCGCTGCCCTCCTTCCTGCCTGCGCAGGCCCCTTAACTCAGCCCTCACCTACCTGGAGGACTTCCCGGGCCTCGTACACTTCATCTATGTGGACCGCACGACCGGCCAGATGGTGGCCCCCTCCCTCAACAGCAGCGAGAGGATTTCCTCAGAGCTGGGCAAGGGGCCCCTGGCCACCTTTGTCAAAGCCAGGGTAAGTGCCACCTGACCTCCAAGGGTTCGCTGGGGACTGTGCCCCTCCAACCCTGAGGTCCCGTGTTGTATCCTGCACCTGCCCATGTGTTTCCGTAAGCCCTGCAGCTGGGAGCATCTGGGCGCTGAGGTCACAGCCATCTGCGGAGACAGCTGGGGCCTAACGGTACGGCTGGCTTCACTCCATGCCTGAGTGACTGAATTATCTAGAAGAGAAAGAAACGTGGGTTTCATCCCATTGGGTTTCTATAGCTAGGCGGCTTCTACCCAGGAAACATCCTCTGGTATTTTTGTTGTTGTCGTTGTTGTTTATTTGTTTTGTTTTATTTGGGGACCACACCTGGCTATGCTCAGGGGTTACTCCTGGCTCTGCACTCAGGAATCACTCCTGGTGGTGCTCAGGGGACCATACGGGATGGCAGAGATCGAGCTGGGTCTGCCTCATGCAAGGCAGGTGCCTCACCTGCTTGTCCTATCACTTAGGCCCCTGGAATTCTTTTGTCTGACTCTTCTTCAGCACGAGCTGGTGCATGTACCCAGGACAGGTGATAGTGTGTGTGTGTGGCTAACAGGCGCTGTGCTGCTGTGTATGTGTGGAAAAGAGGCACAGAACTGCCGAGCCGTCCGTGTGTGTGGAGTGCGCTATCCACGGACGCCTGCTGGGACCTGTCTCTCACTCGCCTGTACCCCAAGATGTTGTCTGGTACTAGTTTCCATCTCCTCCTCTGTGGAGGAGGGTGAAAAGCCCTCCAGAACTTCAGGCTTCTCACCAGGTTGTAGATGCGGGAGATGATGCATGTGAAGTGCTCAGCCCAGCACGCATGGTAGCAGTGCGGGTGGGTTTCCCTAAGGCTTTCCTCACACATGGTACCAGAGCGGATGGGATTCCCTAAGCCTTTGCTGGTGGCCGCAGCCTCTGCCCCTCTCTGTCCCACTTTCTGGACAGTGTCACAGTTGTCCCACAGTTTCCCCATGCAGTTTTCTGGGTCTGGGATGACCCTGCCTGTGCCATGACATCTCCCACATATCCACTTCACTTCCTGTCCGATGCATTTCCATGTGCCGTTAATTCTTCCTCACCATGACCTGTACCGGCCCTGGGCGGCCCGTCGCAGGAAGCTGGCCTCCTTCACTTAGCTGTTCCCCCGCTGCTGGGCATGCAGAGCTGTCCCTGCCCTTCACTGTTTTAAACAGTTCCACAGCCCCACTCGGTGCGTGGGTGCCTCTGTGCTCCTCTCCGAGCCTTCCCTCAGCGTGGCTTCCCAGAAACACGCTGAGTGCAGGGGGAGGGATGCTTGTGGTCCTAGATGCTCTGTCCCGTCAGGGTGTGCTCCTGAGAGACAGCATTCCTGTGCATGTGTGTGTGCATGCACGTGTGTGTGTGTATGTGTACGTGTGCATGCATGCATGTGTACACGTGTGCATGTTCATGTACATGTGTGTCCACATCAAGGCAGACCATGCTCTGTGGTCAGGCTTTTATTTATTTTTTTTTTAGAAACAACAGTTTATTCAAAAATGTCAGTAACACGTAAGTCTCCATCCATTAATGATGTCTCTGCCTTTCTTTTTTGCACAAGATACTAATGGAAATATTGGGGGTGGGGTGGGGAGGGTCCAAGGACCAGCCCACCCCTTCTCCTCCCTGTCTGCCATGCCATCCTGTAGAGCCGGGAAGCAAGCACACACCATCTGGTCAAGTAGCCCCTGGCCACTCACGTGCAGATCGCACTCTGCAGTCAGGCCTGGGTTGGGCCGGCCTCCTGCCAACTCTTTGAGGAGAGCAGCATCCGGCCTTTCCCTGGGGCAAACCATAGTTTGTCCTCGAGCCCAGTGAGAGGAGCTAGGGAGAGTCTGAGGCCATCATCCTGCCAACCCTGTTGGCTCCGACTGTAGTGAGCCCAGACTTCACCCGGGGCCTGGGATACTCTGTGCCAGAGATGCCGGGGTGGGGGAAGGAGGGTCCCTCAGGGGACTCCAGTGACCCTGACAGCAGGAGGTGCCCCAGGGTCACACCCTGACCTCCTGCAGTGATAGCTGATCTCTCTAGCCAGGATGTTTCGTGTGTGTGTGTGTGTGTGTGTGTGTGAAGTTGCATGCTCGGTGTCCATTGAGCAGTCGCTGTCACTATGTGGGCTGTCCCCCGACACCCAGCCCCGTGCACTGAGCTGTGCCCGCTCTGCCCCGCCCAGGTGTGGTCCCTGATCCGGCTGGCACGCCAGCACCTGCAGAAGGGCTACACCACGCTGCTTTTCCGCGATGGTGACTTCTACTGCTCCTACTTCCTGTGGTTCGAGAACGAGATGGTAGGTCTGAGCCTCTTCCCATGACTCGCAGGTGCACCGCCATGCTGCCTGCCCTGGTCCCCGACGCCCCTTCTCTGCCGCCACCTCCCGGCCTCGCCTCATCCTTCCCGATGACAGGTAGCCGAGATGACCCTCCATCCTGCCCCGCAAGGCCCTGGGAAGGGGGGACACCCGGCTTCGGGCCTCGCCACCTGCTTCCTCCCCCACACACAGCATCACCAGGGCATGGCAGCCCCGCATGCCCACTGCAGAGCTAGGGAAACTGAGGCTGGAAGCAGCTAAGCCACCAGCCCAGGAGGAGGCTGACTGTGCCCCAAGCCCCAGTTTTTCTCTCCTCTCCTCTCCTCTCCTCTCCTCTCCTCTCCTCTCCTCTCCTCTCCTCTCCTCTCCCCTGCCCTCCCCTCCCCTCCCCTCCCCTCCCCTCCCCTTTCCTGTCCCTCGCCACTGCCCATGACAAACTCTTCTTCAGGCACTGTGAGAGGGGCCCTGTCCCCCACACAGTCAGTCACTGTGGGCAATGGGGTGCTCATCCCTGTCCTCACCACACCCCCACCTACACACACACACACACACACACACACACACACACACACACACAGAGTGGGGGGCCCGGGGTGACAGCTGCCTGTGAGAACATGGCCAGGTGCCGGTGGCCTGGCGCCCACATGCCCAGCACAGCTACAGTCTGCTTGTCCCACCCCCACTTGCAAACTGGGCCCTGGACAGCCCGATCTCTCCAGCAGGATTCACTGGGCGGCAGGGGTCTCGTGACCATCTCGTCCCTCACACCCCCTCCCTGCAGCAGCTCTTCCCCAGCTCTGCCCCCACTGGTGGGCAGGACTCCTCATGCCAGGCCTGGCACTCGGTGCTTCGTGTTCCTGCACTGCCCCCCTCGGAGAGGAAAGCGTGGGGTCCAGGCGGCTCCTGGCACCACGCACCTGGGCAGACTGAGCTGCGCCCCTGCCCCGTGTGCCAGCCTCAGGGCCCTGTTCTGTCCCACGCCCACCCTCACTCGCCTCCTCCCACAGGGCTTCAAACTGCAGATGATGGAAGTGCCCGTCCTGTCCGACGACTCGGCCCCCGTGGGCGTGCTGGGGGGAGACTACTACAGGTGAGGGGCGGGGCAGGGCCCCCCAGTGGGGCCACTCTGGCTCTAGAGCACCTCACAGCACACACACACTCACACACATATACACACACATTCACACACTCACACACATATTCACACACACGCATTCATACACACACAAATATTCACATACATGTCCTCTTGCATGCATACAAACAGACACAAACACATACTCGTACACACATACATACACATACTCATGCACACATATACATATATGTACACACACTTGTACACACATACACATACATTCACATACATGTACTCATACACACATACATACACACATTCACATACACACATACACAGGTTCACATACATGTACTCACATACATACACTCACACACATGCATTCACTGCTCATACGCACATACTCATATATACACATTCACATATACTCACACTTATACAATATTCATGCACACACATACAGTCATGCATACACACATACAGTACACACTCATACTTTGATACACATTCACATGCACATTCATGCACTCACACACATACACACTTGCACGCACACACACACACACACACACACATACACACTAAGAGCTCGATGCTGCAAAGGCACTGTAGGTGCAGCGAGGGCAGGTGTGTGGGCTCGGGGGTGGGGGGAGCTGCTGCCCTTCGTCCCCTCTGCTGGCACCGGTGCTGAGAGCAGGCGCCTGCCGTCTGCCCAGAGCTTCCCACTGGCCCTGTGGCCGCCCTTGGCTCAGACCCCGCTCGGCAGACGCCCCATCCCGCTGCACAAGTAGGACTGAGGCCCCGGGGAGAGACCTGGGGGACCATGGTGCGGGAGGCGCCCCGGCTTGAGTCCCGCCCCTGCCCCCAGGAAGCTCCTGCGCTACTACAGCAAGGCCCACCCGGCCGAGGCCGTCAGGTGTCGGGAGCTGCTGACGCTGCACCTGTCGGTGCTGCCGCAGGAGGTGCTGGTGCAGCAGGCCGGGGAGCTGGCCGGGCGCCTGTGCGATGCCTCCCGTGTGCCCTTGGTCTGAGCACCCCTGACTGCCCCTCTGCCTCAAGCTCCGGCCTGACCCAGCTGCAACATGCCCCTGCCCTCCTCACACAGCCCCCAGGGCTCCTGGAAGAAACCTCATCCCAACCCCATCAGCCTCTGGGCCACGCAGAACAAATCCCGATCCTGCCCTCTAAGGGAGGAGGAATGCTGGGGTTCTGTCCATCTCTCCTGATGCTGCCCTGTCCTTCCGTCCCCTGTGGATGGGGTGGAAAGTTCCAGAGCCCTGGGGTGCCCTCTTACAGTTGGGGAGGGATTCCTCCTCCATCTTTCCTCATCTGGACCCCCAACCCCACCGGTTAGGGGAGGTTTCCTTCACCCAACCACCCCTCCCCCCAGTGGACAGCTTCAGGTACACAGCAGGTGTTCAATAAATGCTTGTTTGAGCCGACATGCCTGAGCTCCGAATCCTGTTTGATGCCAACAAGCCCCTGCCAAGTGCTGCCCCTTCCCTGCCCCTCCTTGTCCCCCATGACTCCCTCCATCCCCCACCCCAGGTCCTGAGAAGCTTCCTGGGAGGGCCTGGAGTGCCCAGGAGGGATCAGATCCAGAAAGCCCCATCCCAGCGTGGACACAAGGCTGAGGAGGTCCGCAGAGCCCTGAGGCAGGGTGGACCATCAGCCTCCTGCTGGCCTTCGTGTCTCCAGCTGACGTTCTTGCCTAGAGCCCTGGGCTTCCTGTTCTGCAAAGCAGCTGGGCAGGAACCGTGACCCCAGCTCGGATGAGTGTCCACAGACAGGGACAGCAGGGGACAGCATCATTGAGTGCTCTGCTCGTCCTTCCTGTAGCCAGACTCTGAGCAAAAGCTGAAAACCCGAGTGGTGCCAGTGACTGATGCACAGGGGACACTTGAGTCTCAGGGGACATGGGTCCCAACTGCTCAGTGCTATTGGGGACCCCACTTGGGTCACCTGATCCTGCCTAGCTGCTTTGCAGCTGACTGTCACCATCCTTATTTTTTATTTTTATAGAGTTGTTCACAATAATTTATTACGTTCAATATTCCAACACCAATCCCACCACCATTACACCTTCCCACCACTATTATTTTGAATTTTACCACCACCACCCAAGCCTGCCCCAAAGGCAGTAGTCCTAAATAATTTATTTTGTATTGCTTGTTATGAATAATCTGCTAAAAATGATCCCAAAAACATTTCCTCAGAGGAAAGTGTGTGAAGATTGTTGTGTCTCACCCTGGAGCCATTAAGCTTTTGTATAAGAGATTACTAACATGTTTATAGGTTAAGCCTTGTTTGCATATATATATATATATATGTACGTATATATATTTTATTGAGATCAGTTGCCTTCTACATTACACCCATCTAATGTAATGTGCTACTCCTGCTGCATCAGTGGCTTAAAGGATGAGATGTTCCAGCTGTACACTCTAGGAATTCTAAAACTTTAAATAAGGTGATAGTGCTAAAGTTAAATTTTTAACTAGATAGTGACTTCGGGGCCTGGAGGAATCCCTGCAGCTTGTGGCTCTCTTTCGAGATTTGTGATTCTCTGGGTCATGGCCATTAATGAGCTTATATGGCACCAGAGGCAGCTCATGGGCATGACTGCCAGGCTCCCGGAAGAATAGGGGGTCAGGGGGTGGGGGTAGCCTATTCCTGACTCTGTGAGAGCCTGGAAATTTCAGCCACAAATCCCACATACCTGGGGGGGGGGGGGGGGTTGTTTTGTTTTTCCGGCAGATTCATTCTCATGTTTGAGGCTTGTTCCAACCATATGGTGATTGGCCATGAGCATGGCAGCAATTTGGTTCTGGAGGTTTTCAGCTACTGGGGCTCTGTTGGGGCGGGTGCTGGGCTCACTGGACGAGACTCAGCCTAGCGTGGGGTCTGGAGGCATCTCTGCGGCTCCATCAGCATTCTTGGTGTGACCAATCCCCTCGACTTCCCAGTGCTTAGCAGCAACATGGTGATGCGACCCGTTGGATTGGAACCACAGTGCCCACAGTGTGGACCTTCTGGCGGGGCAGGGTGGGGAGGCTCCAGGGGAGAGTGGAGGGGCCTCAAGACCCCACGTCTCCCACCCCTGTGCTGAGGGCTTCTCCCTGTGCAGTCTCCTGGTCACCTGCCGTGTGCTGGGTTGACCCTTGGCCCCGGATGGATGCCTAGCTCTGTGTCCACCATCTGGCTGCAGGGTCACACTGGCCACTCCCACCTGCCCCCCACAGCAAGCTCTCCCACATGCTCGGCAGGCCACAGCTAAAGCTCCAGGAGCTTGGGAGGGAACTGTACTTTGGGGAGTGCAGGGTTTTTCCTCCTGGCTTCCTGCTACCCCGGGCTAAGGAGCACCTCCGTGGGTGCCCTCACTACTTCCCTCCACTCTCCTCCGCCCTCCTTCAGTCTGTCTTGGGTCAGGCCCGCCCTCAGCCAGCAGGTGCCCTTGCGGCAGGAGACGAACCCTCGGGGCAGGTGCTGCTGTCCTGGGTGCTGAGGGGCCCCAGAAGATACAGGTTTGCAGAGGCCCCCCAGGACTCCCTCCCCCGTGACTCTGCTCCTGTCTGTAGGGTGGGAGTCCCGGGGCTCACCAGGAATCTCGAGGGGGCTTTACTGGGTGGGAAGCCTGAGCAATACCCCCAACATAGGCTCAGCGGTCACTCCTGGGCCCCCCACGCTGTAGTGGTCTCTTCCATCCCCACCCCCCACCCCCACACAACAGCAGTGTTTACTCCTGGGACCCACACACACAATTGCAGTGGTCAGTTCTTGAGACAAACACAACTGCAGTGATCACTCCTGGGACACACACAACTGCAGTGGTCACTCCCGGGCCGTGATCCCCCCCAAGCTTCAGTGGTCACTCCTGGGTCCCCCACAGTAGTCACTCCTGGACCCCACACACAACTGCAGTGGTCATTCCCAGTCCCCACCACACACACCAGCAGTGGTCACTCCTGGGGCTCCCCACAGCTACAGTGGTCAACCCCAGGCCCCACACACAGCTGCAGTGGTCACTCTTGGGACCCCACCGCTGCAGTGGTCACTCCCAGACCCCCACACAGAGCTGCAGTGGTCACTCTCAGCCACTACCACACACAGCTATAGTGGTCACTCTTGGGACCCCACCGCTGCAGTGGTCACTCCCAGGCCCACACACACAGCTGCAGTGGTCACTCCTCTCGAGGCCTCAGCCCAGCAGCAGCCAGCTCCTCCCAATGCCCCTGGACTTAGACCTGGCCAGCCCCGTGAGCCAGCCTGCCACAGCCCGGCCACACAGATAACCCGGAGCAAGGAAACCCCTGGCCTTGTCCCCCATAGAGATGGCGGCAAGTGGCTGGGGCCTCTGCAGAGGCCTGGGTGCCTCCTTTCGCCCCGTTGGGAGACGCACCCACTCGGAGGCCAGGGCCCACCCGAAGCCCGAGTACGACGCTGTGGTGATTGGAGCAGGTAAAGCGGCCGAGCCTGCCGTGGGCAGGACCCTTCCTGGCCTCCCTCCTCCTCTAGACAGCCCTGGGGCTAGGGAACTGGGGTCCGGGGCCCAGGCTCCCGCCTGGGCTCCCGGGCAGGTTCTGGGGCCTCTGCCTCTCTGGGAAGACTTGACTGGGGAGGTCTTGGGGGCTGGTTCCTGGGGCGTCTCCTGCCAAGTCAGCTAGTGGCAGCCACATTCTTGGAAGACTTGGGGGCTGGGCAGGAGGAGTGTGAGACCTGGGAGAGCTGGCGGACTCCCAGGGCCCACCATCACTTTGACATAGGGCACCCAGGATGGTGTGCTCCCCAAAGGGGTGACAGAGAGACAGACGTGGAACTGGAAATTCATGCCAATGGGGGCTGTCACCTCCTTATGAGTCTGGGGGCTCCGCTGTGCTGTGCTGGGCTCATCTGCGTATAGAAGGCTGCAGACAGCACCAAACCCCCCACCCCCAGTCTTCTCAGTTTCCTGCGACACTTCCAAGGGGCCTGTGGAGGGGCGGGAGGGGCTTATCCCTCGGCCTTAGAGCAGCGCTTTCTCGCTTCAGTGCATGCTCTGAGCAGCTGCGTGCAGGTGAATGTTTAAACAGCCGGCTCTGCGGGGGCACGTGTGAGTGTTCACATGCTGGAGGCTCGTGCGGATACCAAAGCTAAAGAGTAAAGCTCACAGTTTTCCAACAGACATGCGTACATCCATGTATGCTCTGAACTGCAGGGAGCCCATGGACCCTGAGTGTGATTTCTGCCAACACTCAATAGCCAGCCTGTGGCTGAAGTTGACCAGTGAGGAGAGTTCTGGAATTATCCTTGTTTGGTGATTTTATTTCCTCTTTCACTTAGAGGGGACAGAGAGCAGCCTCAAAGGGCTGGGCTCATGCCTGGCAGTTGCAAACGCCCCCCCACCCCCACCCCAAATTCAATCCCAGTCACCACATTCCACCACATGAACCCAGGCTGCTGGGCTAAGTGTCACCAGGAATGACCCCTGACACAGGGGAGCCCCCTGACACACACTAAAGGCATAGGATGAAGCCACAGTCCTTCCAGGGAGCCTCCTGTGAGATGGGCCTGGTGAGTCTTCTGACTAAATCTGCTGCAGTGACCTGGGAGGTCAGCTCGTAGGCCAGTTCCAGATGCTGGTGACTAAGGTGCTGAGGCTAGAAGGTGACACTCCCCCCCCCCCCCAGAGGTCACCACATGTCCCCCCTCCATACCAAGATGCTCTGATCCAGGCCCCTCTAGCCCACACCATGAGGACCCAATGATCAGGGCATCTTCTTCTAAGAGTCCTCCAACAGGTCTGGGCCTGGGGACCCCCAAAGATCAGCTAAACAGGCAGCGCCTTTAATGAGCCCCTTCAGTAGGGGGAGGGCAGGGAGGGAGCCAACAGCAGCCGGGGAGCACTCGGGGCCTGGGAGAAGACGGCGCAGCTGGGGAGAGAAGAGCCCAGGTTGCCGGTCCCTTGGCTTTGTTGGGTGAGGCCTGTTTGTGTCTAGACCTGCGCAAACTGGCCCCAGTGCCTGGAAGCCTGGGTTAATTTTAGCAAATAGACAGTGCTCTGAGCAAGGCCACCAGGTCAGGAGTCTTACATCTGTCCCAGTGGTTCTGAAACACGCCAGGCCTCCGGCACCTGTGGCAGATGGTGGGGCTGGAGGCTTTGGGTAGCTGAAAAGGCTCTCTGCCCCACTTTCCCCCCAAAAAATAGCAGCTCTAGGGGGAAACTTTAGCCTTTAATCTGAGGAGAGATACAGTCTGCTCACGTGGCCTATATAGCACGACTCCAAAGCTCTTTAATGAGAAGGATCCAAAGTATGTGAAATAGCATGCAAGTCAGCTTTGAAGATCTAAATCCAGGGATGGAGGAATAGCACAGAGGGTAGGGCACTTGCCTTGCACACAACCAACCCAGGTTTGATATCTGGCACCTCATTTGGTTC